TGTGTTGACGTCATTTTAACTGAAACGGGAAGACAGGGCGGGACATATCAAGCAGTCCCGCCCCTTTTTAAAATAGCCAATAGCATTAGTTTATATCACAGCTTAGGCTAGAGCCTTTCAGAGCCTTTGAGCTCCGTAAAGCTGCATTTGACAGGGTATGCCACCCACAATCTCATCCATATTGCTATAAAATATAGCATTCTGTGTAGAATTCAAATAGCTCCGGTACATTCTGTGGTCTGCGACGACTCGTGCATGTGATCCGCTCCGTGCTATCGTGTCTCTGGACCGGAGCAGAGTGTGTGTGCGGTGCGGTGGTTAGCGTGACACAGCGCGAAACCAGACTTCTTTTTTTCCACAATGGAAAGCATATTTACACTGTTTGAATCGTTCCCTGTCCCCTATATAGTGCACTACGTGCCATTCACTGTACAGAAAATACAAATTCTGTGGACAAGTGACCGATTTCAGCCGCGGTTTCAGCATCTATTTTATAGTGTAGGGGGCGGGCGCTTCAGATTCTAGAGAGCATTTGATTGGACAGAAAGTTTGATGAGAAGCTGAAGTACGATGCGACATCAAAAAAATCGTTGAGCTGTTTTGGCGGAAGTGACGAACTGCAAGCTTTGAATGCTTATATCTTCTTAATGCGAATTTTGTCACTGTTTTGGAGCACACTGCCTTATAGATAACCTTAAGACTAACATATTGATACTAACACCCAAAAAACTTTAATTTTGATTTCATGGGGACTTTAAGGTACTAATATGCATCTTTATCTTTAACATACAAAAGTGTACCCTTGTGAAAATGTACTGCCCAATGACAGCTTTTGTAACTTTTTTCTCAGAGTGCAGGACTCAGATAGAAACTAGAAACTTTTAGTGGCCATTGTTTTTGTATTCATAAAGTGGTAAACACATAGGGCAGTTTTACTTCTGTTGGCCATGAAGATCTCCAGTGCTGTGTTCTGAAGCAGGAAGCGTCTGGTGAACACTGCTCGGATCTCGCTGAACATCCATTTACCGTGAAGCCCCTCGGAGTAGACCAGCACCTACGCACAGGCAAAAGGAAAGAGGTACGTTAACCAAAGTGCAATCCAACAGATTTTCCATACTGTTTTTCAATACGTTGTCACACGTGTTATGATTGTTGCTCAGGAAACACATTCCGTAGTTGCAGTTTGATTGTCACTCCAATCATCGTGCCATGAAGCCACTTTGACGGAGCACTGCGAAACATTCCATTCCCGTCAAAAATGTTGGCTGGTATCCATTGAGTGATGGCAGGCCAGGCTTTGATTATCTCAAAATGGAGGCATCTCTAAAAAGGTGCTGCTTTCTGTTGATGATGCAAAGGCCCGTCTTTCCACCTTTCCTCCATTTTTTTGACACATCTTTCTCTTGTGGGGCCAACGCTCTCACCGTGCTGTTGGAACACAGTCCCTATGGGGGTAAAGCGGGTGTAAATAATCAGTACTAACACGGGGCCTGGGCAAGAGGGGGATCATTAGTGAGTTTCTCCTCTGAGACCCCCAGTGACCTCAGATGCTGGATCAAGAGCTTCATCCTGACAAGTGAGAATGAGCCAAACTCCATTCCCCACCTACCACTTTGACGGACCAAGAGGTACACATGCACACACACAAACATATGCGTACACACAGACACACTCACACACTTCAAGCCTAAAAAAGAGAATGCCTTGTGGCATATAGATAAGAGCCCATTCCGGGTGGGTACAGAGGTGAGGAAAGGTTTGGGACATTTTGTACAGTAACTGTGAATGGGAATCGGGTAAGGTTAGCACCTAAAGCTTCCACCAACCAGACTGGCCTTGCTTAATTTCTCTCTGGAATAACGTGCAACGCTGACACTGAAGAGCCTCCTGTCACTTGTGGGTCTCTGGGGCTTAATTAAAAATGGATTAGATCAAAATGCTCACCATCCACCACCATAGGAAACCTTACTCCACACAAACCACCAATAACCAATGCAAGATATACAGATAGGTTTGCCCCCCACAGACCTAAACTCAAAGAGCTGTTGTGCTGTACATACAGGTTGTATGGTAAACTAGTGGATTGGTATAATTAGAAGTCGATTTGGCAGATTTGGTATTAGAGTTCCAATGATTTCCACCTAAGAGAACAATGGAAAGAACAATAGAAGAACAGTAGCAGAAAAAGAATGAAGGGATATTATTATTCATATAATAATGACAAACAAATAAAAAACAACAATAAAAAAATATTATTGATAATGACAAAAATGTGTATTAATAAACCATCATAATAATAAATAAAATAATAATATAATAACAATAAATAAATAAATAAATAAACTACATTAATGATGATAATAATAATAATAATTATTATTATTATTATTGATAATAATAATAATAATAATAATGACAAGCAAAATTAACCATACACAATAATAAAAAATATGAATGATAATGATAAAACAGTATCATATTTGTAATACTACTACTACTAATTATAAATAATAATAATGACAAGCAAAATAACCATCCAAACATTAATCAAACTAA